TTTTCACATTAAAAAACTAATGAACTTAGAAATGATATTACTTTATTTTTCTAGCATAAAGGTGAATCAATATACTAATCATGAGAAAGATTTAATGAATTTCTTAGAAAATGTCCACATCATGCTCTATATGATTGATTAATCATTCAAAGGTTTTATAATTGGTTAGTAGAATCCTTTAGATCTATCATTAATGCTTATGCTGGTGGTTCATTCTTGTCGAAGCCATTTGATGAAACTTATTCTTTAATTGAAGAGACGACTACAAATAATTTTCAATGACTTTCTAAAAGGTTAAATCCTAGAAAGGTAGCTAGTGTTCATAATACAGATGTGTTGTCAATTCTTACTTCTCAGGCTGCAACAATATCTAGGAAGCTAAATCAATTTGGAATGAATCAACCTTAAATACCTTCAACAATTGAGGAAAATTCATTAGGATAGATGGTTGATTCTAACACTTCATCGTTAGAGACTTTAAATGCCATTAACAACAAACCTAAAAACTCTTATTTCAACTTTCGTAATCTAGGTTGGAAGAACCATCTTAATTTTAACTTGAATAATAATTCCAGAGGTGGAAACCAACAATGGGGAAATAATCTAAGTAAATCCTGTAGGAAACCAACAATGGGGAAATAATTTCAGGGTGGTACAACTATATTTCTTCTTATCCACCAGTGTTTAACAACAATCCATAATTTAAGGAGAAGAAGTTGTGTATAGAGGAGACTGTGTTGCAAATAAGAAATCAATTGAAAAGTTTAGGTGCAACGATAAGAAATATAGGAAATAAATTGAGACAAATTGCTAACTTACTCAACAATAGGCCCTAAGGAATTCTTCCTAACAACACTGAGATAAACCCTAAAATGAAAAATAAAGAACAAGTTAAAACTGTCTAACTAAGAAGTGAAATAAAGATGGAGGTTGTGGTTCAAACAGAAATTGAGTTTGAGAGAGTAGGAAAATTGAAAAATCTAAAGAAAATATTTCTAAGGAAAAATCAATCTCTTCAACTAGAATTAACTTAGAAAAACCACAACACCATTTTCTTAAAGACTTAAACAGCAGAAGTTAAATCAACAATTTTCAAAGTTTATGGAACTATTTAAGAAGTTAACTATTAAGATTCCTTTAGCTGAAGTTCTGGAGCAAATGACCAGTTATGTAAAGTTTATGAAAAACATTTTTAATAAGAAGAGAAAATTTGAATATTATGAAACTGTTGTACTTAGTGAAAAATGTAGTGCTATAATTCAGAAAAAGTTTCCTAAGAAACTTAAAGATCCTAGAACTTTACTATTCCTTGCGCGTAGGAGAAAATTTTTTTTTGAAAAGTTTTATGCAATTTAGGAGCAAACATTAACCTTATGCTGTTATCTATTTTAAGAAGGTTAGGTTTAGGAGAGATTTCTCCAACTATTGTAACACTTCAGCTAGCTGATCGATCTATCACTTTTCCTAAGGGAGGCATAGAAGATGTTTTAGTTAAAGTAGATAAATTCATCATCCCCGTTGATTTCATCATGTTAGATATGAAGGAAAATAAAGAAATTTTAATTATGTTAGGGAGACATTTCCTTGCTACTGGACGAACTATGATAGATGTGCAAAAAGATGAGTTAACTATTAGAGTCAATAATTAGGAAGTTATATTTAATGCCTTAAAATCTATGAAATATCCTGCCAAAGGAAAAGAAGGTGAGTGTTTCAAATGAATTTAATTGATTATTTAAGTAGTAACCATTTCAAAGAAAGTTGTGAAGCTAAATCAGAAAAATAAAAATTAGATAATGGAAATGATATGAATTTCCAAGATTATTTGGAGATAGTGCCTACCGAAGATTCAAAATTTGTTCAAGAGGTTTGAAATTCTAGATATAACAGAAAATAGTAAACTGCTCATTCTTTCTATTGAGAAACCTCCTGAACTTGAGACGAAGATGTTTCCTACACATTTAAAGTGCTTATTTAGGAAACTCATCTACATTACAAGTCATTATATCCTAAAATTGGACCCACACTTGAAGAAAAATTAATGAAAAGTCTGAGGAATTATAAAAAAACTTTCAAATAGACTTTAGCAGATATTAAAAAAATCAGTCATTCAATTTATATGCATAGAATCCCGATGGAAGATAATCATAAACCAAAGATGGATCTTTAAAAGAGATTAAATTTAATCATGAAGAAAGTTGTTAAGAATGAGATATTAAAGTGGTTAGACGTAGGTATTATCAATTCTATTTCTGATAGTGTTTGGGTTTGTCTTATACAATGTGTTCCTAAGAAAAGGGGAGTGCAAGTAGTTGTAAATGAACAAAATGAATTAATTCCGACCAGACAGTACCAGACAGGTTACCGAGTGATGAATTTGTTTTGATTATAGAAAATTAAATTTAGCTACTAGGAAAGATCACTTTTCTTTATCCTTTATCGACTAGATGTTGGATAAATTAGCTGGACATCGATACTTTTATTTTTTAGTTGGATATTCTAGATATCACCAAATACTCATAGCTCCCAAGGATCAAGAAAAGACTATAGTCACGAGTTTTTATGAAACTTTTGCTTTTAGACGAGTGCCCTTTGGGTTATGTAACACACATGCTACTTTTTAAAGGTGCATGATGTCTATTTTCTGTGATTTAATTAAGAAAGTGATATAAGTTTTAATGGATAATTTTTTCAGTGTTTGGAACTTCATTTGATTTATGTTTAGACCATTTGACAAAGGTGCTAAAACACTGCGAAGAAACTAATCTTATTTTTATTTGGAAAAAAAATTGTCAATTAATGATTGCAGGAGGAATTGTTCTGGGACATAAACTATCTGAAATGGAATAGGCCCAGTAAAGATTCAAGCAATTACTAAACTACCTCCTACTACAACGAGAGGAGTTAGAAGTTTTTTGGGTCTTGTTGGATTTGATAGGCAATATATTAAAAATTTTTCAAAAATCGCCAAGCCAAACATGCGCTATTTATTTTTAATCAAGATTGCCTAAATGCTTTCAATATCTTAAAAGAAAAATTAATCACCGTTTCTATTATAGTATCACCTTACTGGGGGAGGCTATTTGAGTTGATGTGTGATGCAAGTGATTATGCTATTGGAGCAGTGTTAGGAAAAAAATATGATAAAATTTTTAAAATTATATACTATGACAGTAAAATTCTTAATGAAAATCAAATTAATTACACTACGACTGAGAAAGAATTATTGACAATAGTATATGTTTTTGATAAATTTAGGTTCTCTCTCTTTGGAATTAAATGTATTGTTCACATCGATTATTCTGCTATTAGATTTCTTATGCTAAAGAAGGCTGCTAAACCAAAATTAGTTAGATGGGTCATTCTGATGCATGAATTCGATTTTGAAGTAGTGAATATGAGATGATCGGATAATCAAATTGCTGATCATTATCTTGACTAGAACAAGAAAATTCTTGTAATTTTGAAGATGAAATTAATGATATTTTTTCTGATAAGCAACTGTACGCTATTACTGATTGACCTGTTTCGTGATATGTAAACATAGTGAATTTTATTGTTAGTGATATTATATCATATGGATTAACATACCATCAACGGAAAATTCATTCATGATATGTGATCTTAATTTTGGGATAACCTATATTTGTATTAAAAAATGTAAAGATCAATTTATCCGAAAATGTGTACTTTTAGAAAAAAACCCGTGAAATTATTCAAAAATATCATGACTCTGAGTTTGGAGACATTTTTGTGTTGATAGGATTTCATTTAAGATTTTACAATCTGGATTTTTTTGGGGACAATTTGGGCGGGAACATGTGCCCCCCCCCCCCCCCCCCTCAAATTTTTGCGAAACCTTTCATCACCTAAGTTTTCCTTTCACGAATTAGTGCTGGTATCAGCTGCATTTTTCCCGCCTCGACTCCTCACCTCACCCCATGAAAAAAAAAAAAAAAAATATAGCTTGAAAAACTTTTACAGTAAACTTTACATTGGAGTTGTAGTCTCACCCCATGAAAAAAAAAAAAAATATAGCTTGAAAAACTTTTACAGTAAACTTTACATTGGAGTTGTAGTCGCCCCAAAATGACCTTAGAGGGTTTCTCTAATGAATAAATACACGTCTCTGTTCCCCAATGGCAGAATTGGGCTCTAATGAATAAATTTCTCTAATGAATAAATACACGTCTCTGTTCCCCAATGGCAGATTTGGGTGGGGCCCGAGGGAACATGTGCCTCCCTCAAATTTTTGTGAAACCCTGCTGTCGCTCGTATTTTTCTTTTGTGAGATTGTGTTGGTCTCTTTTTTTCGTATCTATGCATGTGTTTGGAAGGTTATAATGGCTCCTCTTTCGTATCATACATATGTGATGCCCCTGTGGTTATGTGATCAGACCAACAAATGAATGGTGACGATTAAGCAGAGCACTGTGAAAAATGTTAGCTTTTTCACAGTGCTTGATTATTCATTTTTTAACCACAGATGCCCCTGTGGTTAAGTTAGCTTTTTCAGTCTTCTGTGAAAAATGTGAAGGTCTCTTACTCTGATGATGGATTTTTTTCATGTCTTCATCTTGATAAAAAATGTTATTTCTGATTTTAGCTTGATTGCTTCGTTTAAGGAATTTTTTATTTCTGTTACTGGTCCAATTTATTGTTTTATTTCCAATTGTTTTCTTCATTATGTTTTTCTGATGTTGAACAACTATTTTTTTTTCTTAAATTACTTTTTAGCACAAGTATTTATTGAATGATTTGAAACAATGCTATATATCATCATAATCAGCACTAGTTTTGTGAATGCTGTTCTGCAACAGAAGACTGCTGAGTAGTTTTTTTTTTGGGTTAAAATATGGCACCGTGTTTGCAGTCTAGGTTAATTATTCACTCTTAAGAGTTTTGTATGAGCATGGTTGAGAACCCTTCAGTTTTGGTTTTTTCTGCCGGTTAATTATTCCACAAGGACTATGATATTATATTCCTATATAATTTTGCAGGAATACATCAATGGATTATGATGAAAATGATTTTCAAAGCCAGAACTTTGAGTTAGTTGGAGAAGACAAATTTTCTGTGAACTTGCGGTCATTTCTTCTTCCAAGGTTTGATCTTGATGAACATCTTAGTTTTCATGGCTTAATTGAAGAGCAGGATTTTGGCATTCAAGGTCAAGAAAATAATTGGATTGATTTTCCACCTGGGAGTAGTGCCTTAGAGTTCAGTTCAAGTGCCGCTGAATCTTGCTCGATTGCTAGACATAACAATGTCTGGTCGGAGGCAACATCATCTGAATCTGTTGATTTGTTATTGAAATCGGTGGGAGAGGATGAAATGATTAATGATAAAGCTGTCATCATGGACACGAGTGCTAATGATGAATCTCATGGTGTTGATGATCAGGAGGTTCTCTACGGCGGGAGGGGTGATTCCCATGAATCATCCATGATGGATATCCTACATGCTGCTCCAGAATTTGCACACGATAAATATCAGAAAAAATTACCAGGTACAGATGAAGGCCAGTTGGAGTTGTTATCTAATAATGCTCATGGCTCATTTCAACCAGCTGAAGGGGAAGAATCAAGAATTGCCATTTACGTTGAACCTTCAAACAGAAACCATAATCCTGATGAAAAGATTGATGTTGGTCAGTATAAATTAGTTGACATTGTAACTTCTTTGTATAATGGTATTGCAAAATCAAAAGCGGATGACAGTGATTTGTGTGCAGTTCTATATGAAAAAGATGTTTGTGAGGTGCTTTTGAAAACAGAAGTTCCATCTAGTGATGAGTCTGATTCATCTGTGGTGGATGCCCGGAGTCTAGCATCTAATCAAGATAAACTTGATATAGAAGCTGAAAAGTTGAACACTGGGTTGTTTGGCGTTGGGCAAGATCAGAGTAATATCCGCGATAGTTCCGCTTTCTTATGTGATCATGTACATAAAGAAAAATCTTTGGTAAAACATTGTGATGACAAAACAAACCGTCAGTTGGCATCCAAATCAGATGCTTTGGAGCTGCTGGATACAAATTGCATTGATTCTGTATTTTCTGGGAATTCTGGATTGGTGATGACTGTTCCATGCGAAACAAAGTCTTTGAGTGGTAATAGAGGGGCTAGTGAAAAATCTTATGCCAAAGAAGAGTGTATGAGCCCATTAGCAGTGGAACAAGTAGAAAGAATTGGGAATAATTCTGTTATCTTGCAGACAGTGCCTCAATTAAAAGAAGGATCTAGAAGTATTGGTGACAGCTTGACATCTGATTCTGTGAAAGATGATGTCCATGGTATAAGAATTCAGTTAATGAAGAACTCTGCCATGTCTTGTGATGATAGAGGAGGAAAACTTAAGACACACATAGATGCCATTGATAATAATCAAGATCTACAAGGTGAGCTGGTAGAAAACAAAAATGTTGATATTGCAATTGCTACTCAGCTGCTAATAGAATCACCTGCTTCTATTCATGCTAATTATCAAACTCGAACTGAAATTAAAGAATGTGAAAGGATGAGCACTAATTCATTGAGTTTCACCTGTGAGAAGCCTGGATTGGTTGTTGAGGTTAACCATGATAATGATATGGATGTTGACAGACAGGAGGTGAAATTACATGAAATTAAAGATGCAACCCCTGATGAATCTTCTTTACCTGTTGCTGTGATTGGCGAGTCTTGTCAACCAATCACTGTGACTGACACGGACTCTAGGATGTCACCTTCTACTTGCTGCAAATCAAGTCTCTATAAGGCAACCGTATCGGTTACTGATTTGAAGGAGGTTCATATTGAACAAGTTCATGTTTCAGTTGGCAAGGAGACCACAATCACATACATCATTCCTAGTAAAATTAGTTCAGACCCTGTCTCAATAGTTATGGAGAAGGCTCGAGACTTGCCTCCTGCAATTCAGGATACTGCTGAAGGTTTGCTCCTGAAAGGCTCTGAAAACAAATTGTTAGAAGAAAAAATAGGCAAACTTCTAACCTAAAACTATTTCTATTAGTTTTAAATAAGGAAGCTGTTAAAGTAAATGAAGTTGATATTAATTTTATTTTTCTTTCAGATTTTGATCCGTTATCTCCGCCGCTTGAGAAATCTAGTTCTCTTCACTTGTTAACTCCCGAGCTTGCTACTAACATTGATTTGGCCGTTGGAAAGAGTGAATTGCTGATTCAAGTACTATCTGCATCAAATGTAATCGACTTTGATAATAAGGATGTGAAGATTACTGGAGCTACGGCCTCATCAAGTTCAACTACTGATTCAATTAAAGATAACGAGAGTGACTTGGGTTCATTTTCTTATCCATTAAACATGAGAGACACACCCTCAGAAAAAGTTTCCAATGGTGATTTCTGGTGATATTGGAAAGATATTGATCTCGACTTTTTTCGGGGGTCATTTTAGTCTCACAATTTATAAACACGGTTTAATCCCCAAATTATTTTTAGTATAGGTTGAAATAGTGTCCAATGAGGACTATTTTTACATATTAAAATAGTTCGGGGATTAATTTGACACTTTTATAAACTCTAAGACTAACATAACCCAATGTAAATAGTCGAGGGACTTTTTTGGTTCTTTACTCTTTATTTATTCATTGAATTGCCTTGATTCATTTATTTGGGGAAGCCATTACTTGGATGATAATGCTGATGTTTTATGTTTCCATGCTTTTACTTTTTTGAAATAGATGCTCAGTTGGCTTCTCCGGTCAAACCAACCGATTCTCAGCAGTCAAAAGGTACTGTTGTCCTGAACTTGGCCACTAAACAGAAATGACCGTCATCATGTTTAACCATACCAGATTCATTCAATTCTGAAGAAAATGACATGAAGCTTTCTGGATATTCTATGCTATCAAACTTTACGAATAATGTAGATAATGATTCTCTTAGTGTGGAAATTACAGGTTTTAACTGCGTTAAGGATACTTCAACAGATCACCTTGGAAATGCTGTAGTGCAAGCTCCATCTTTAGTGCGAAGTGTTGATTTTACTCAACCTCAAAATGATATTCTATTTTTGGCAGGGAATGGTGTTAGAAGTGGGAAAATTCTGCCACTGGAGGGGAATGCCGTTGCACACGGTTCTTTTCAAGAAGGAAATGATGACATTCCTAATTTATTAGTAGTTTCCCATGTTGGGAATGAAGTGCCAGTTGCTTCAGGTAAGTAACTTTCATGGCACTTTTATTTGGTACTTTATGTGCAATGCCAATTTCTTGTTTTTAAGATGTTTCAAAGCTTGAGTACTTTAGAGGGGATCCAAATAAAAAAAGTCTTCTCCTTGGGGTGAAAGAATTTACAGGAAATAAAATTGAATTCTCTTACTTTTCTAATTGATTGCACCTCTTAGCCTATAATATAATCAGACCTGCCCTATAATCAGACCTGCTCAACTATATTTGTGTTGCTGTTACTTCCCGAATTGTAATGCTTTTTGATATTCTCCAGATTGTAATGTTTTTTTTTAATATATTTTCTTGCATCGGCCTCAGACAACTTGGAAGGCTTGTGCAGCTTTTGTGCAACTGCGGTGTTATTGTCACGATAAAGGGAGCATAAATAGGGCTTAGAGATGGAGCATAATCGATTATGTCATATTTTTCATTTTTGTGTTGTGCATGAAAAGTTCTGAACGTGGTCCCCGGGCTCTGCAAATTCGCTCTATTTACTTGCTGAGTTTGGAAGAGCTAAACGTGTTGTTATGATTATATATCCTCGTTGATTTAAGTGCTGATTTTTGGAGATTTTTTTTACATCGATATGGACGCTTTAAGTGCTGATTTTAAGAGGCTTTTACGCACATTTTAGGAATGATTTGGTCATTATTTTTTGAAAGAATTTAAATGCCTTTAGGCAAATTTACTTGCGGTTTTTGCCCCTTTGCTTTTTTGATTTCATTTTAGAAGTAAGTTGACCTCCTTCTCCATTGATTTGTTTTTGTTATTATGGTTAAGTCAAAAAATGAGAATTTGAGATTTAATTAATTGGAAAACTCTTAAAAAATAATTGAGGATTAGTTGGAAAACACTTCATTGAAAGCAAAACACCTTAAATCACTGCAAGGTCAAGTTAGAGTCATATGCTTCCTAGACTTTAGGAGCACACCCTAGGTGAGAGTTCCTCTACCTAATTTTCAAATGAATGATGAAACTAAGCACTTGGCCTTAATTCACAAGTCGATTAAAATACTAAACATGACGATACACCAAGATGTGGCTCATAACTTCTTTTTAATTAAATCAAGTAGTGAAATTCCTGCTATGACTTAACCTACAGTGAAACCCAATGCTTCGAGATTTGAGCTTGAGCCTTACACTCAAATTCTCCTGACAATTGGGGACATTCCCAATGTCACATATAAGTCACATACTCTTTGTTCTTTATACGTGACATCGTGTTTTGTTTTACTCGTTCGTGTTTTTTTTATTATTATTTTATTATGCCCGACTTTCTAACAATATGTTTAAGTTTCTTTCAATTTGCTATTTTTCTTATCGCATTATTTACATTAATGCACTTGGGTAGAGAACAGTAGAACATATGTTAGGAGGTACCCAGCAGCAGACCGTCGACTCAACAATTGCATATACATTAAAACTTAACATCGAACCTGAAATTGCTACGGCGTGGAGCTTGGAATTAACACTGTGGGCAGCACGACGAGGACATACAGAAGGACAAGTTAGAGAGAGCAAATCGATCTACAACAACAAACTTTTCCTTAAAATTAAATAACAAGCCATAGGACTTCGAGGTGGTCCAGGTAGTCTTCCTAGTGCGACATATATCCCCACCTTATCGTTTAGGCCTTTGCAGAGCAATGTTGTATAATTTAAGCCCTAACTCGCTTTAGGCTCCGAGGTCATCGTCTGATACGACGTAAAATCTCATATCTTTCAAGCCATTTGTATAATCGTGTCACTCAAATATAAACTCTAAATAATAAAACATGCATGATAAAACATTAAATAACATATCATCAAAATTGAAACCAAATAATAGAATAGTTTGAGAAGTTACTGAGGTTCTCCTTAGGATCCATGACATCCCATACTTTTCTTTTTTTTGACTCCAGAAATAAATGTTCTCATTTTGTCCCTTTCCCCATTTGACTTTTCCATGTCCAACCTTGAAAACCTTGAACTTTAAATTCATGAAGATAAATACGTCTGATTATCATCGAGAGTTCTCTTAAATGACTTCAGTCATTTGAGAGGTAATTAATTATAGTTGCTTGCTTCTATAGGGAGTTTTAAGAACCCAGATAATATAATTCCTATCTAATTTTTAATATTAGGTAGGAGATCTTGTCGGTCAACATAAAGGTTCGCAGACTAAAACAAATGTCATAAATTTTTTAGTTTATATAATCGGGTCTCACGAGAAAGTAGTGTATCTATCATTCGAGGTAGATATATTGCTTGCGTTATTGTTCTCGATCATTTAAACTCGCAGATATGAGATCGGTTCGGTCTTGTATTTTCAAAAATTAAAATATTACTTTTTCTAATATATATATATATAAATTAAATAAAACATCTTTTAAAATCACGCGTCGGGATATCCATTTCGGCGGCCTACAATTTCTAATTTGGCGATCGACAATTTCTGGCGACTCCGCTGGGGATTAGCTCTACTCTCCATTTTGATCAGTAGGTTTCTGTCTTCATACATCGTTAATATGTCTATGTCGCTCATGAACCAGATTACCATTCTTCTGTTGGCATGCTTCGCTCATTTCTTTCGTGGGCAAGTACGGTCAACTCTCTTGGTTCCAGAATCATCTGTTTATCCATCCCTAAACATAGTGGTTCAGGAATTTTTAGTGTTTTCTTTTTTTGTGTGGGGTCAGGCCCCCAATAGGTGTGTTGGTGCGCGGGATGCGTTATGGAATCAGCCCCGGAATGGGTCCCGAATTTCACTTTTAATCTCTACTCTCATACCTTCCACTTGAATTCTAAAATTAAGCGAACACCGTTAATAAATCTATAAAAAAACACTCTGAAATCCGTAAATAAAAATAAAATAAAACAAAAATACCAAAACAAAATGAAAGGAACAAAAAAATAATGTACATAAATTAAATTCAAAATAAAAAAAATTTCTAAAAAAAATCACCCAGTTCACATGACAAGTGCGTCAACTTGATTACTTTCGTTGAAACTACAAGACACGGGACGTTTGAACATTCTAAGGAGTGCTTTGGTGATGAATATGTAAATTCATGAGAATTAAGTGGTCTGTATTTAATTGCCATCTTTTTTTTTTCCTGTTTCCGTTTAACCCATATGAGAATTAATCTCATTCCTTCTAAGGAGTGGTTTCACTTTTCAAAGCTTGAGTACTTTAGAGGGGATCCTAAAAAAAAGTTTTCCACTTGGGGTGAAAGAATTTACAGGAAATAAAATTGAACTCTCTTACTTTTCTAATTGATTGCACCTCTTAGCCTATAATCAGACCTGCCCAACTATATTTGTGTTGTTGTTACTTTCCGATTTGTAATGCTTCTTGATATTCTCCATATTGTAATGTTTTTTTTTTATATATTTTCTGGCATCTGCCTAAGACAGCTTGGAAGGCTTGTGCAGCTTTTGTGCAACTGTGCAACTGCTATGTTAGTGTCTCGATAAAGGAGCATAAATAGGGCTTAGTGATGGAGCATAATCGATTATGTCATATTTTTCATTTTTGTGCTGTGCATGAAAAGTTTTAAACGTGGTCCCCGAGCTCGGCAACTTTGCTCTATTTACTTGCTAGTTTGGAAGAGCTATTAGTGTTGTTCTGATTATATATCCTCGCTGATTTAAGTGCTGATTTTTGTAGGCTTTTACGCACATTTTGGGAATGATTTGATCATTATTTTTTGAAAGAATTTAAACGCCTTTAAGCCGATTTACTTGCGGTTTTTGCTCCATTGCTTTGTTGATTTCATTTTAGAAGTGGGTCGGCCTCCTTCTCCATTGATTATTTTTGTTATTATGGTTAAGTCAAAAAAATTTAATTATTTGGAAAACACTTAAAAAAATATTTGAAGATTAGTTGGAAAACACTTGATTGAAAGCAAAACACCTTAAATCATTGCAATGTCAAGTTAGAGACATAGACTTCTTAGACTTTAGGAGCACACCCTAGGTGAGAGTTCCTTTACCTAATTTTCAAATGAATGATGAAACTAAACATTTAACCTTAATTCACAAGTCGATTAAAATACTAAGCATGAGGATACACCAAGATGTGGTTCATAACTTTCTTTTAATTAAATCAAGTAGTGAAATTCCCGACATGACTTAACCTACAGTGAAACGCAATGCTCCGAAATTTGAGCTTGAGCCTTACACTCAAATCCTATTGGCAATTAGGAACATTCCCAATGTCACATATAAGTCACATACTCCTGGTTCTTTATATGTGACATTGTGTTTTGTTTTACTCGTTTGTGTTTTTTTTTATTATGATTTTATTATACCAGACTTTCTAGCAATTTGTTTAAGTTTCCTGCAATTTGCTGTTCTTATTATCACATTATTTTCTTTAATGCACTTGCGTAGAGAACAGTAGAACATATGTTAGGAGGTATCCAACAGCAGACCGCCGACTCAACAATTGCATATTCATTTAAACTTAACATAGAACCTGAAATTGCTAAGGCGTGGAGCTCGGAACTAACACTGTGAGCAACACGATGATGACATACAAAAGGACAACGTGGAGAGAGCAAACCGATCTACAATAACAAACTTTTCCTTAGAATTAAATAACAAGCTATAGGACTTCGGGGTAGTCTGCCTAGTGCGACATAAATCCTCACCTTATCGTTTAGGCCTTTGCAGAGCAATGTTGTGTAATTTAAGCCCTAACTTGCTTTAGGCTTCGAGTTCGTCGTCCCATACGACATAAACCCTCATATCTTTCAGGTCATTTGTATGACTGTGTTACACAAATATAAGCTCTAAATAATAAAACATGCATGATAAAACATTTAATAACATCTTCTCAAAATTGAAGCTAAAAAATAAGATAGTTTGAGAAGTCACTGATGTTCTCCTCAGGATCCGTGACATCCCCTACTTTTCTTTCATTTGACTCCAGAAAAAATTTTTCTTATTTGGTCCCTTTCCCCATTTGACTTTTTCATGTCTAACTTTGAAAACCCTGAACTTTG